TAACACAATCCTTTGGGTAAAAACCTCCTGGGCCCTGCCCTTAGATGATGAATCTACGTAGAAGAAAGGTTATGAAGAATTTAAGGTCTGGCGAGAGTGGGGGTTTTTGTTATTGCTTTTTTTATTTTGAAATCACCCTGTGCAAGAAGACAGGGGTGTAGAGACCCTGAAGGCAAATGGCCCTCATGCTTGGCCCCAGCTCAAATGACTCTGGGCAGGAAAATTGCCCTCCAGTTAACAATGAAGGCCCACTATAGCGCCCAGTGGCACGCTCCCAGCCCCAGCCTGGTGACATTTCAGCCCTTCAGCCAGCATCCGTGCGCCTGCACAGCCCGGCGGCGACCCGGGTTATTTGTATCAGATAGCACTGCTGCAGGTTTTCTGGTCGCTGCTGCTGCTGCTGCTGTGGGCTCCAGCTGCAGCCAGGGCACAGCTAGGGTTTCCTGCAGCCTCTTTCCTCCTGCCTGGGGCCGCCCACCTCGGGGTTCGGGTTGCAGCGATTGGCTGGAACCTGACCTCGGCCTTGAGGACAACAAGAGCGCAGTGGCCTTCCCCGGCTTGTCCCCAGCACGCTGGCCACTCAGGCTCCACCCTGGGGGCCCCCCCACCCCATTTCCTCTCCAGAGAGGGGAACCCAGTACTTTTCCTGCTTGCCTCTGTCCTTCCCCCAAGCAATTCTGCTCAGAACAACTACTGCTTTCTGCTTTCTGCAAAGCTAGATTCCTCAGACTGCTTCTCAGTTTGGCCTGTGAGCCACCACCAGAATTTTGTGCTCTTTTTCTTTTAAAAATTCTGGTTGTAGCCTACAAGTAAGCTGATTTCCCAATCTAATGATGAGTCACGATTCAGCCTGAAAAATACCATGCCAGATAACTTTCTGGAGCTGTTTCTCTTTTCTGGGCGGAGGAAAAGCTCTAGAACTTACAGAAGCTCTCTGAACAGGCACCACCCTGGCTGCACAGTTAGACCCCTTTCACAGGAAATGCAGCTGAGCCCACATTCTCGATGCTTTGAAGACTCTGGAGTTGCTGAGGGTGCTCATGCTGGTGGGATCCCATTTCATCTTCAGTCCACGGACTAAACCATGTTGGAAATCTGGACGCCATGGAAACGGGCAAACAGTACAAACCAGAGCTTTTTTTTCTCCAGTGCTGGCTGTTCTCCGGTTCCCAGCACACTATTGATCCTAACCCTGCTCTTTCTGAGTCTAAATGCAGCGCACCACAAACCTCCCCGGCCTCGGCTTTCTCATTTGCAGAGTAACATAAAAACGTTCACTTTGTTGGAAAAAATAAATTCATTGAGTACTTTCTGGTAAGTAGGCGGGCCAGTGACCGGAAGAAAATCAAAATGCAAATAATGAATTTCCTTCCACGATGGGATTTAAAAGATGAAGTCCCCAAATTCTGCTGTCTTTATAATTCCCAGAATTGTTGAAGGGGTTTGTATAAAAACATCAAAGCCACAAAACCCCACAATTTGCAGAAGTGTGATGAGCATGAGAAGAAATGGGAGGAAACCAGTGCTCTGTGACACCCAGTACTAGAAAAGAGTGAATTTGCATAGTTCTGACTTAAAGTGGCAGAGGATATTGAAAATGAACTGCTCTTCAAAGGAGAATTTCTATCCAGGTGAACAGAGGGGAGGGAGCTGTCTCACGAATACTCTGATTTAAAGATTATACTGATGAATGTCCTGTACCTCCCCACCCAGCAAGTAGACTTCAGTTTCTTAGTTTCTCAGTAACAGTTCTAGATCCAGTTCGGGTTGCTCCTGTCTCTTAGAAAAGACTGCTCACTGGGATGCGTAGCCGGTCACTATGATGCACGCTGTGTAAACCAATCCCCAACTGACGGTCTAGTGTGCCTTTGTACTTCCTGATTGCTTATCCCGTGTAAGCCCCAGACCACCAGAGATCAGGGCCTGATGCTCTGGGAATGATCCCAATCAGGGCCCATTGATGTAAATAAACCTGTCTCCACATCTGGTGTCAGTTCAGTGTTTCTGCTGGCCATTGCAATACCACACAGAAACCACAAATCTAGAGTACAGATTATACACCCCCAAAGATACCCAGTGAGCCGTCTACCTGACAGACATCTCTACCTAGGAAAATCCACAAGACTGAGCCTGAGGAAGGCCAACTGAGTGCTTCATCTTCACGGCCCTGAGCAGGAGATAGTTGTCTTCTCTCCGTTTCCCAGACAAGAGCCTAGACACGAAGAGACAGGCCCTGAATCACACGTGGGATGCTGAGCATCCCCAGAATGAAAGCATTGCTCCTCAGTTGTCACCCAGGGCTCCTCCTTCAGGAGGCCTGGGGCAAAGTGGGACAGTATGGAAGAGACTGCCAACCATGAAAAACAGGATGAAGAGACGTTTATTTCTGAGCAAATAATTATTCTGTTCAGAAGGTCACGTGGAGAAAGGGGGAGACAGAAACTAAGACTCACGTTTCCAACCCCAGGGGCTGTTTGCCTAAGTGTGTCCAGTTGTTCCACACCATTTGCTGTGAAGATAACCCTTTCTCCACTCAGTTACCTTTGCATTTTTGTCAAAAATCAGTTAACCATGTATGTGTGGGTCTGCCTCTGGGCTTCACTAAATTGATCTGTTTTTTCATCTTGAAGCCAATACTATACTGTTTTGATTATTGTCACTTTGTAATACATTTTGAAATAGAAAGTCCCAGCCAGACACAGAGCTCAGTGGTGCAGGGCCTGCCTGGCAAGTGCAAGGTCCTAAGTTAGATTCCCAACACACACACACACACACACACACAGAGTCAAAAAGTCTTCTATGTGTTTTCTTTCAAACTTGTGTTGTTTATTTATTTGCCTATTTATATTTTTGCTGGGGCACTCAGGCCCTTCTTTGTATTTTTATTTGAAGACAGCATTTAACTAAATTGCTAAGGTTTCACAAGCTAGGCTTGAATTTATGATTCCCCTTGTTTAGACCCCATAATTCTGGGATTACTAGCTTATACCACCATGTTTAACTGGTCCTTTGCACTTATATATGAATTTCACAGTTTGATCATTAATGTCTACAGAAAGAGAAACTTTCTGATATTTTGATTATGTTGCATCTATAAATTGGAAAATAACTAAAATGACATTTTTTGAACGATGGAGCACAAATCCAAGCAAGACCTGTGAATCCTAGCAAGAACTGTGCTATGGAGTGATATCCTCCAGTCCAAGACCTGACTTCCCAACCATAGCACGTCCTTCATACCCATGAACATAGTATAGCTTTCATTTATACATGCCTTATTTAAATTTTCTCAGAAGTAGTCTTGTAGTTTTTGTTGACCAGGTTTTGTATATCTTTTGTCAGATTTACCCCTAAAAGTAGCTTATATTTTTAATGCTAACCTAAATGCTATTTTAAATTTTTGTTTCTTGTTTTTCATTACTAGTATACAGAAATGCAATTGCTTTTGTGTTTTGAGCTTAGATTCTGAAACCGTGGTAATTTTCAGTTATCATAATGGCCTTTTTGACTGTAGTTTCATAGGATTTTCAAATAAAGAGAAATGCTGAGAGGCCATGTTCCAGGAGTCCACACTCGAACAAACTCCAGCCTCAGGCTGTCAGAAGGAAGCGATGTACAAACCAACACGAGGATGAGCCAATTCTGTAAGATATCTGCAGAGAAGCAGATACACAGCTAGAGGGGCTTCCTTAAGACTAATGTCACCATGACTGATATTCTAGTAATATTGGGAAATACCCTCAGCATAGATCACTTGATTACCAGCTGCATTCATTATGGTTAGGGCACCAGAAGAGGGTTGAAAGGAAAAAAACTTCAGTCTTGGGTTAGAAAAATGTTCCAAGATTTGTTCTACAAAGCCTGACTCTATCTCATAAGACCTCCACAAAGCCCCTGCTTCCCAGTCTCCAGGCTTCCGTCTTGCCCGATGCCAACCATTTCTACTGAGCTAGGTTGTATAAAAGTGTCAATCAGACCACCCTAGCGCCTGCACTTAGAATAAAATCTGAGCTTTCCACCCAGCCTAAGAAGCTCCCCTGCATGATTTCCTTTCCTACCCCGACCCGCCAAGCTGCTCTCCCTGGGAGAAGCGAGCATTGCCCCCGTGCATTCCAAGCCCCTCGTTTCTTTGCTACTCATCACCTGTCTGATTCCTTCTTGTCATTCTTCCTGACACCCTTTTGACCTTCCCAACCTCAGTTTTTTCCTTTACATTTACCGTATTTGCTGTTTCATTTTACACTCAAACTACTATAAAAGCCAAGACTAACACTAATTGGTTTTCTCGGACTGGAGATTGAACACAAGATCTTTGCACTGGCTACATATTCCACCACTATTTTATTTTATATTTTGAGTCAAGGTCTTGTTAAATTGCCCAAACTGGGCTCAAACTTGGTATCCTCCTGCCTCAGCCTCCCAGAGTGCTGGGATGACAAGCACGTGCCACCTTATCTGGCTAAAACCACTGGTCATTTGTGTTCCCCATCTCTTACTTGAGAAGTGATGGACACTCAAACAGTTTGAATTATTGCTTGATCTCTTTGTGTCTATACCTGTGTACAATCACTCATCTAAGCACCCCCCAAACCCTTTGGGATTGACCTTTCGTACTGGGATTCTCTTCCCTTAGAAGAATTATTCAAACCTTGGCTTCAAGATTAAAATCTTGCCAGGTGATTCTAGAAAGTACTAATTCTTGAAGCCCACCCCAGAGCATTCAAATCCAAATCTTTTGGATAAGGCCCTGGTATTTGCTTTTAAAACTCCCTAGGTAATTCTCACGTGGTACCAGAACTGGGAATCACTCACATCAAAGAAAAGAAAGGGGGCTTTTCTCCAGCCCAGGGATAAAAATCCTTGGATGGGGTCACAGCAGACAGGAGGGGCCTCCCTCCTTTTGGCTTCCTCTCAATCTGGTCTCCGGTGAAGGTGGACCTCTGGCCCAAATGGACTCAAACTCCAGTGCAGCAGGAAGAAAAAAGGAAGCTAGACCAGAGTGGAAAGCATTTTCAAACTTTATTTACAACTGTCACAGTGACAAAAAGTAGTTTGGAAAAAAAAATGCTAGTTTCTCCCTGAGCCTCAAAAAAGAACAGATAGGAGTTACAGAGGTTCATCTCACAACAGGCATTTTACTGAAATACTAGGATTTTTTTTTTCAATACGATTAGTTAGAAATACACACAAATTACTTTAAAAAAAAAAAAAAAGAGGAGGCCAGACAGGAGCTCAGCCACTGTCCGAGAGCAGCTGGGTCCCCTCAACAGCCTCAACTGCGGAGGGGCCTGACTTGAGCGGTCAGCCCCCGGCCTGCTCAGACCATGGATGGTCGTACACGGTGGTCTAGTGACCAGCAAAAGGAATAAACCAACCCCATGAACACACATATACACAGAATCGACTTGATACATGGTTTACAAGCACATTCCCATCACATGTCAAGACTGCAACAGATGATCCAGGGTAGCGGGTAGGAGGAAGACATCAAAGCACAGGAATTTAAGAGGCAAGACCCACATCCACGAAGGGAAGCCAGGGATGAGAAACGCTGGGGAGAAGGGGGCGTCAGGGTGAACTGACCTCTGCAGCCAGAACAGAAGGAGGAGGAGGAGGAGGAGGAGGAGGAAGAGAGGGGCCTGCGAGGCACAGAATGCAGGCCCTCCCGCTCCTGGGAGGAGGAGCCAGAAGAAGTTATTGCCATTGGTGTGTGTGACACAGGCAGAGGACAGAGGGAGCAGCAGGGGCAGCGGTGACTCAGGAGCCAGGACCAAGTCTCCAGGTCAGCAGCGCATCCCCACCCCCCTGCCCTGACGCGCCCCACAGCCACCCGACCTTGAGGTATTAAACGCCACTAGACACACAAGTCCAAGGCCAGGGTCAATGCTAACTGGAGACCCAAGGGGCACTGTGCCTTGCTTGGGTGAGTGTGGCCCGAAGAAGGCTGTAATTCCACTGCTTGGCCACACAGTCCTGCTCTGAAAGAGAGATGCAGCCTGCTGCTCCAGAAGGTCGCTGTGACTGGGCCATGACTGAAGCAGAGTCCAGAGGCTGACTTTTGCAGGCAACCGCTGTCCATGTTAGAAACAACTGGAAGGTGGGGTGGGTTGTGGGCCAGAGTGCTCCCTCCCCACACTTTCTCCCACCCACATCTGGGGACAAGATAGGGAAAAGCGGGGATCCCTTCACACCTGCTCCATCACCCTGGGCTGTGCCAGCCTGAGGGACCTGCATGCGAATGCACCTCCCCACCAAGAAGCACGCTCTCTCTCAGCTCCCACCGGAAAGTCAAGCCAAGAACCAAAAGGGCGGGGGCACCACTGCCGGTCAGGTGGGCTGTGGTCTACAGCAGGCTGTGGACCTGTCTGGCTGGCTGCAGTGGTGACCACTGCAGGAGGGCATCCCCGGGGGAGCTACCCCTATACACCCCTGCTCTGTGGGACTCTTAAGAACAAGTCTGGGAGGGGGTCAGAGAAAGGGAACCTTCATGCCCAAGCATCAACCAACAAGGGCGGGAAGTGCCCTGTCACTCACAAAGTGCTGGAGGCAAATGGAAGAAGGGTGTAAAAGCACTGTTTCTTAAAACCCTCAGGTCTTTGGGGTTCCCTTGAGCCTGCCCTTGTTGGGGGCAGCATCTGTAGGAAGGACAGGGTGACCTTTCCTTTCCTTTCTTGAATATCCCTCTAGCCAGTTTTGCAAGCATCCAGTTTCTCCTGCTTCCCTGTCCCTTCCTCTCTGTCTTAGACCAACACACCCGAAATAAAAGCAAAAGCTGGCGATGGGTGAGACAGAGATGAGGCACGAGATGAAGCATTGGTTTCTGAAGCTCTGGCAACCAGAGAATGTGTGCTGAACACTTCCTGGCTGGCTGCAGGTTTCTGCTCAATGTTTTCTTAACACATAAGGTTTTTTTCCTTCCTGCCCCCAAAGTTCCTTGCTTGTCTGCCCATCCCCCTCAGCCCACCAGACCGCCCCCCGCCTCTGGCTGCTGGAGCCCAGATACTGATCTCTGCCCTAGTGCCTTTCCCATACCCCCACCCCGGCTCTCAGCAGCTTCCTTTCTCAGAAGATTCTGCAAGTTGTCAGAGAGCTCCACTGCTCAACACGTTTCAAAAGAGACGAGAAAAGAAAAGAAAACCAACTCGGGTGATTTGCAGGTGCAGAACGGAAGCCTCGTTTGACATTTTCAGAATGATCGCGGCTCACTCTCCTCTTCCATCATGATGGGAAAAACACAGTTCAGGTCCAGATGCTGGCTGGCATGACCTCGGAACGCCCGCAGGGCTCTACTGCTCCTTGCCTTCTTTCCCCGTCTCTTCGCAGTTGTCCTGTTCATCCTCCTGCACCAAGAACTCCTCCGGAGGCCACCGGAGCTCCCCGCTTTCCACTTCCCCCTCTGTGGGTTCCACCACTATGGAGGGGAGGCGATCCTTCAGCTTGCAACAGCGGTCGAAGTCTGACGGGTCAGGGAAGATCTGAAATAAAGGCAGAGGAGCCGTCTGGTCATGTGTGTATTTGGAAAGAGGAATCGGGCTTCTTTTCACACTCATGTGCATGCAGGGCACTGGGTGCCTGCCGGGGACTGGACACGGCCCTCTGGACACTTGGGGGACACAAGGCGGGAGCTAGAGGTGTAAGTGCTGGGAGAAACTGGCCCCAGCCAGAGCCTGTGGGAAGTTTGGGGACAAGCCCACGGAATCCAAAAGGTCGATATAACTGTTTCACTGTTACATCCAGAGAAAAGCATCACGCTGTCACAGCAAGCCGTGTCTTTTTGCAGCAAGCATTGTAGAAAGCATACAACAGCCACCAAAACATAAAGTTCCTTCCTGCCACAGTAGTGACTGGCACCCAGTAACTACTAGAAGAACTAGAAGCAGGTTCTTTACATTTCAAACCAGCAAGTCAGAAACAGGTGCTGTTTATGCAGTCTTAAAGAATGGCAGGCTTGGGCAAGTAAGTTGTTCAAGACCACACAACTTAGAAATGAAAGGAATCTCAAACCCAGATCTGCTGAACCCCTTCACCATGCCCCCAGGACCATCCTACCCTCGAGGAGAGGCCCAAGTCCAGGCCCCCAGTCTCAAGGAAACTGGGAACGAAATAATCCAGGGCATTTTTCCTTTTCCCTCTTAGGACCTCCTGGCCCCTGGGAAGATGCTACTCCTCTTTCCAGAGTCCCACTGTGAGGCTATTTTTTAAAGCCTACTGTGTGTCTCTCCCAGAGCTAGCAGAAACCCCAAGTCAGACTATAAAATCAAGGGCCAAATCTGGTTCCCTGGATTCTCTTTGCCCACACTCCCTGTGACTACAGCTGACCCAATTCTTTGCCCAGCAGCTTAAGTATTTAATCCACCCGCCTGCTGGTCCCTTGCCACTCAAAGCCTTCAGTGACATACCCGGGAGTCAGAAAGGAGCCTTGGTTTGAGAAGTCAGGGCTCCCCAAATCACAGACACTTTGGCACCTTTGAGGCCATCTCCTCCCACCTCTCCAAAGGATAGACAAGAAGCCCAAGGCCAGAGGGGTCAGAAGATCCATTCAAGGATGTCTGGGATGAGTGAAGACCTTCAGCTGAAAAGATCTCTGGCGGCTGCCTGCTCCTTCTGGATGGAGACGGGCTCTGGAGGTCTCCTCGCGGGAGGAGAAATGCTGAGGCCTTCTCAACTTCTTCTTCTTAGGGCACACATCTTACTGTACCCTAACCCCAAGACAAGTCAAGTCACACTCCAATCATGTCCCAGGCCCTGTGGGGCATCTGGAAATCATGGGCTTCAAGAAGCCTCCTCCATCCCTGCAGACCAACGATTATTAACTATTTATCCAATAAAGGCCTATTGCTGGGGATTAAACCTTAAGCCAGCCGCACGACCAGGCATCAGTAAAGACTTAACAGGGCTCATAAAAAGTATCATAATGGCAGCCAGAAGGAAAACAAGTGAGAGAGGCCAGGCCTGGACCTGTCAAAGGGTCCTAGGGAAACTGACCACAAGTCTGCACTTTGTCCTGTTACGTGGCCAACCTGAAATGTTCCCTTGGGCAGTAGTATTCCCACACACTGGAAGATGTACAAGCAGGGAGCCAGTCAAGTAAGCGCTCTGGGGGCTTTCTCACTTCTCCAGTGGAGCTGAACCCCTCTTTCTAGGGGGTGACACAGGGTGCCTTCCTAACTTGAGCTCTGGGAGTGGACAGAGGAACCTCGATGAGTTAAAAAGACACCACAGTTTCCAGAACCCTTTCAGACATCTCCTTACTGAGGAGGCCTTGCTGCCACCCTAGGAGCACTAAGACCCTAGACCAGTGGTGGTAAACTACGGCATGCAGGCTGCAGGGGGCAATTTGTGATCCCTGAATGCTCTAAAAGGCCCACCCTCGCTGCCCTGGCCCCTGGACAGGGATTCCAACCCTGATCTACTGTTTTCCAGTGCCTGTGCCTTTCTAAAAACGAGACAGGATGCCATGAGGTACACATCTTTGATTCACATGTGGGACACTGATCAGGAAGGGTGAGCAGGACTCGGGAGTCCAATGCCCAGTCCACTGTGGGAGGCCGGCATTCAGGACCTGAGACAGAGCCATGAGCTATCAAGAGAAGATGGTCTCTTCACCTCACACAACTCCTCACCAGTCTCTACCCTTGAACCCAAGCAAAAGCTTGGGCCTACCTGTGACACATCTGGGAGAAATGAAAACCTGACTTTAATTATAATCACCCAAGGAAGAGGGAAGGGACAAAAGGCAAGGCCCTGGCAGGAGAGACAGAAAGACTGTAAGAAAGGAAACCATCTCATTGCCTCACAGCCTGGGATTAGGTCTGTTCCTCAGATAAGCAGGGGGATGCAAAAGTGTGGACAGTAATGGGCGAAATTTGTGTCAAGCAGAATCTCAATAACATCTGTAGGAACTCAATGAAGCCTTCATTTGAAGATGTTGGATCAAGCCAGAGAACCAAGATCCTCACTATGTACTTAACATCAATGATATGACATGTCAAATCCTCTCGACCACCCCCAGCTCTTTTAGTCCTCCTGATAGGTACCAGTGCTTGGCAAGTGGAGAGGACAAAGTGCTGGAGAACGTAAGCAATATGCAAATCATCATGTCTTGTCTGGAGCAGGTTTGGCAGGACTCTGGCAAGCATTCAACCTCAAGCAAGAAACAGTAATACTAACGCAGTAATTAAAATAACTCCAAACAATACCTTTCATACCATGAATTCTACAATTAAGTCTTTGAAGTCCTTGGGGGAAGTCTGAGCACTGAACTTTTAAGATTGCTTAGTTGCCAAAGAACTTTGCTCCCTGAACTGCTTATAGCAGAAGCTATTTTTTAAACTATTTTTGGACAAACCTTGTGAATCGTATCTTTCAAAAACCACTATAATAATTATTCTAACCCTTCCATCAGATATATTCTTTATTATCAGATTATACCAATGTATGCCTCTGAAAATTGTAGTTCTCTCCAGAAATAAACAACATGTACCCAGGACCAAAAAGCCTCACGCAACAGACAGAAAACCTTGCAAAGTGTTGTGGAGTCTTTTGCCAGCACGATCTTATCTCCGGCAGCTGCTTAGGAGGCTGACCCCAAAAGAGGTCGACATTTTTCCACTAAGTCATGCTTTTTAATCATCAGGCAGAAGAAAAATGAGAGGTTGCAACTGTAATTTGACAGGGCGGGGAAGGCAGTGGTAAAAAGGACTCGAACCAGACTTGCCAAGCACGTGACAGGTAGGGTTAAGGTAGCCAGTCAGCCTGGCACTCACTGTGCCTTCAGATGCTGGTAGAGAATACAGAACCACGAGTTTTCCAAAAAGAAAATGATTCTTCTCAAACCTCCAAGCCCCAAATTCCCCTTCTCTCTGGACTGTAAAAAAGAAAAAAAAAAAAAATCCTTCTTCCTCCCATCTTTAGCAAAGGCTCATCTCCAAAAGGGTCAGAAGGAAACTTCCAAAGAAGCATTTCCCACCCTCATCCCAGGACCAGGTAGGTCTAGAAGAATCCATCTGCAGCTGTAGAACTACCAGCCTGATGTGTTTCTCCCTCTGCATCTACCTGTCACACTGTGCTGCCCAGGCTGATGGCTTGTATGTCACTCAGGAACCGGGTTCCTTCCTTTGCAAATAGAATGAAGTCTTGTTAATCATGCACTCCAAGAACACCGCTGTCTTGCGTGTCTCCTGTGTGGGTATAGTAGGCATCTTGCCTCTGCAGAGGCAGCCTTAGCTGGGCAGCCACAAACCCCAGTAGCTCACTTTGGGAACCCACATAGATTCCTCTGAAAGGTCAAAGGAGCTGTAGGATGCTCTCAGAGGAAGAGAGGGTCTGTGAGATGGAGTCTAATGGCAACAGATTGGAATTTCTGGCTACTGAGATCAACTGTTTAGCAGGTGCTCTGCTGTCATGAAAATGTTTTCTGTGCTGTCCAATATGGTCACATGTGGCTACTGAGCACCTGAAGACAAAAGCAGGATGGGACATCTGGATGGCTCAGCATCTGGGTGGTCTTGGAGCAGAGAGCTGTGAGCCTGGTCAAGCTCCAGAGGGAATTGATGGCTTTTTCACTTGGACATGAAAGTTGCCAGTGGGAACCAGCTCTTTTCTTGCACAGAGGGGAACTGAAAGGCTACACCATGGCTTCAAAGGCCCCAAATTTAGAGTTCTAGCTATCAGCTGTCTGCCTGGCAGCCAGGTGACCTAGACCTGGCTGCCTCTGGGTGGGGAGAGGAGAGAGATGCTTGGCACTTGGTGTGGAAAATCTGAGCGACTCTGGCCGGAACCGCCCTCCCTTGTGTGTGTGTCTCTCAGCCGTCATCTCTGACAAACAAGTAGAGCTGGCCACAAAGCTGGTGGAGCATTCAGCAAGGAGCTAAGGGATGCTAATAAGGGAAAACAGACACCAGCAGGTGGAGGAGATGAAAGGTGGTTACCTGGACACAAGAGGCTGATGACTAGCCCTGCAAGCCGAGATGTAGGCAGTGCTGATGATCTGCTCCTCTTTGCTAGGGAGGAACAGAGTAAAGGAGTGGTATGGGGTGGGCAGGGGTGGTGGGGGGGGCGGGGGGGGGTAGAGAGCCTGAAACAAAGAGCCAGGGCTCGCTCCCCAAGGTCCAGTGTACAAAACCACACAGAAAGCCAATCCCCTTTCCAGTTGCTTCAGGAGCACAATAAAGAACTCCAAACCTGCTATGGAAATTCACTATTCCCACAGGCTGGTTTCCACCCTGCCCACATCTTTTATTGTGTCTGTGACCCTGGGCAAGTCAATGCCAGCTTCTCTGAGCTTCAGTTGCCTCCTGAGCAAAATGAGAAGTCATATCTTCCACTTTGCAGTAACGCTGATGTGGTTACACGGGGCCGACCCTGCAGTAAGGAGCCAGCCCATTTTCCTCGCTGCCTTCCCTATAATTTCAGATTCATGCTAATTCTGATCTTACCGGGCTTTGGAGAGAATCAAATACAGGTATGCAAGAGA